AAAATATAAAATTCATGTAACCTAAGGAAAAAACCACTCATCCATGAAAGAGACTTCAGAAGCATCATTTATGGGAAGGAGTAGCTCCTTACAGAATAATTCTTACAGAATAATACATCGAAAAAAATCTGTAATTAGCACTACCCTAGGAAGATATATAGGTAATTTAAAGTTTGTGATTAGCTAATAGTATCAACAAGTAAAAAGACATTATTTTCAAGTACTTTTAAATAACTTCATCAGCAGAATTTATTTTCAATTAACATGTCAATTAAAATTATTCTTATTTTCTCATTGAATGAGTAAAATGCACCTGTCATGGGCACTAAAAAATAATAAAACTGCACTTCAATGTGTCGGTCTACTGTTAAACTCTCTTATAGTTTAAAAAAATGACTCCCTTCCTTTTTGGAGCAATGGCATAATGACTTGGTTGGATATAATGTATCACTTCACTGCTTTTGGTCTTTCCTCTTAAGAGGAGGGAGGGGAGCAGCCCTTGGGAACCTGAATAGAGCTTTCCTAAGAAGTGAAGGATGCAGGCGGGGTAGCCAGGGTTCAGGTTTGGGTTCTTGATGTGAGTCATCACATCACAAGGGCCCCCCCCCCACCTCCCCTGTGCGATGGCCACACATAGGGCACTTCTCTGGAAGAGAAGGCAGCTTTTTGAAAAGTTGAATGCACGATGCAGCCATTCCACTTAGAGGTCTTCACCCAAGAAAAATGAAAGTATGCGACCACATACCAGGGCTTGCACATGCACGTTCATAGCACTTGTGTACATGACAGCCAAAAACTAGAAACAGCCCAAGTGCCCATCGGCAGGTGAACGTGGCAGATCCATAAAATGGAACACCCATTGGCAACAGAAAGGAACAAGCTATTGACTGGCACAAGGCTTGGTGAATGTCAAAACAGTCCTATGGAGAGCACTTTGCTGACAAGATGAGTACTCACTGCGTGACTCCACTCATATAGAAAATATAGGCTGATCTGCAGTACAGCAGTCAGATCGGGTTGCTTAGGGAAGCTACTACCAAAGGCACAAAGGATACTCTGGGGGAGAAAGACATAGCCACTATCTTGATTTTGATGGTGGTTTCACAGATGTGTCAGAAACCATCCATAGGTCATATAAGTGACTCACATGTCAAAACTCATCAGATGATGCATTTGAAATACAAGTCATTCATTGTACATCAATTATACCCCAATGAAGCTATTTTTAAAGAAAAAAGCTAAAAGAAAAAAAAAAGGAAATGCATTTGCAGAGACAGACAGGACAAGCTAAACTTGGAGGACTACACTCTCTGGAGGAGGGAACCTTCATGAAAAATCATGGAGAAAAGAGGTGAGATGACATCATCTAGAAAGAGAAGGACTCTGAGGCCTTCCCTGGAGGTGCAGGGGTCCCTCAAACAGAGAAAGCCTCAAGTAGACATGAACTGAGGTCCTGGGCATGCAGAAGAAGACAGAAACTGGCTGCTTCTTGAAGAAGCTCCTGGTTTCCCTCAGGACGGTCCTGCCACTCAGGAGAGAAGGAACAGGACAGCAGGCAGGAGTTCATCATGAGTGCAAACTTAAAGGAGCAGGCCTCCTAAGTGACATTCAAGGACCACCACCAGGAATGGCTTTCCCCTCTACATGGCCTTGAGTTTACCAAGTGCTCACATACCAGAGGGTCAGGGCCAGACCGGGTGGAGGGCCGGCAGGGCTGCCCAGGGCAGGCAGTCTTGGTCATGGGTAGGTGCTTCACACTCCCCCAGGTGTGGAGCACCTGTAGGCACAGGGGACAGGGCTGTGGAAAAGTAAACTTGCTGCCAGGCTTGCTGCCAGGCAGCCCTGTCACAGCAGTGTCCTGGCAATCAGTATGTGCCCTTCAGGGCTTCTCAGGGTTGCTCAGTACTCCTTCTCCAGAGCATAAAGCATCACAAGGCTTGTGCCCTCCCAGGGCACCAAGGGAGGGGTGGCTCCCTTCACAGAGCAAAGGTCTGAAATCTCTCCTAAACATAGCGTATTTAGAATCTGCCCCTAAATCTTCCCTAGATCAAGGACAGCTGATGGTCAGCACAGTTCCCACACCTCAGGACCTAAGTCTTCCTGAGGCACATCCCTGAGCTGAGAGGAGGGAGGAGCACTCTGCCAGAAGAGAACCAAGTAGTGAGATTGGGTTGTTTCCGTTTCCTTCTGTCCTCAGTAGCAAGGATGTTAAAGACAGAAAGCGTCTTCAGGAAATCCTTTAGGTTATGGCAAAAAAGGGGGGGGGGGCACTGCTTCCTTTTCTTTCAATTATTTTAAGCATTAAAAGAAGGGGGACACTACCCCAGAGTCAGGCCCCACAAAAGACAAAACCTCTTTCTCAGGGGTGGGACCAGGAAAGGGCAGATGTGAATGGGGTAGGGGTGGGGCTGTGGCCAGGGCTGGGGCTAGGCAGGAGGACAGGTGTGAGGCTGGGGTGGAGTAGAAGTAGGGTGAGGGTGAGTGGAGGAGGGCAGGGTTGGGGCAGGAGGAAGACAGAGGTGGGACCAGGATGCAGCTGGGGTGGGGCCTGGTGTTCTGTTTCTGGGAGGATGGTCAGAAGGCCTCCACAGCAAGAGAGAGCTGAGTCTGAGATAATCAGAGGAACTGGGTACTTGAGTTCTGGCATAGGTAAAGGTAACACAGGAGCCCTGAGACAGTATAAGCTTCCAGGTGAAGAGAACCCTGGATCCACCCGCCCCTGCTGGTAAGCATGGGAGCCCCAACACACTAAGGAAAAATATTCTTTGAACCCCTTCAAGACACAGCTCCTCTTCTACAGATCCCTGTGCTAGTCCCAGGATCCTGTCCTCATGCTCACAAGGTCTTCCACTTACACAGGCAGCACTGAACAGGACTTCACTGAAGTGTTTTTAAAGCTAATGATAGAAACCCATAGTAAAAATAAACTTTATGTTATATTGTAACCTAGTGCATATGCAAACAGAAACAAGTTTTCAAATCACCAAGTTTCCTGTGACTACTTCCAATACAGTTCACTTTATATTACGGAAATGCTAAGGTGACTTTGCAGATAACTGAAGAGTTTGAAAAACAGCATTCAAAGGCATTTGGGTCTAGTAATTTTATTCAAATGCAAATCAAAACATGAAAAAATTTTAATATTAATTTCCTGTTTTCCTATACAAATACTTACTTTAAAATAGTGGAATCTAAATTTCTTTGTGTGCTCATGGAGAAAATGCCTAGGGAGACATGTTCAGGAGACCTGGGGGGTAGGCGGGGAAATAGTTTGGGAGGAACCCTAACAGAAACATTGCTTACTAGGGGAGGAGACACCTTTGGTTTCAAAGATGGCTCAATAATTTTCACAATGTTCACAAAAACAAGAAGAGAAAGCAGGACCATGCTTTGGGAGGGACTGTTTGGACTGCTCTTAAGTGTCAGGTTGGAGGCATTTCTATCTCCCCACAATAGAGCTTAAGCCACACATGGACTGCAATGTGGCTGGGACCCACACCTGGCATACTGGATGGACACGTGCTGCTCAATACATTCTGCCTCATAACTTTTGAGTAAGAGCTCATTGTTACCATCAAACCCTAACTTTGCATGTAGGCCCAATTTTTAAATTTCTCCAAATGCAAGTGTCTGTGTGATAACAACTGAACCTTTTGCTAATCTTCAAGTCACTGGTCAAATACATGGAGTTTAATGAGGTATATTCCTCAAAACACTAAGAAAAAAGGATGGTTTCCATTAAAAGGTACAAGAAACAGTATTGGCTGTAATGGAAAGTTTCCATGTCTGTTAGCTGCCAGGGTAAACTCTAAAACCAGCTGGAATTAAAATGAGTGTGTTAATGTAATAGGTAGTTTCTCCAGGGACGTGAGCCAGTGGGCTGATCTGTCAGCCAAGGGCTCTTTAATAGAAATGGTGCCAATTTCTCCGGGAAACAAAAGTTCCATGCTCACCCCTGAGGTCAGAAGAGCTTGCACCCAATTTCCAGTAGCCCCAGGGTCCCGGAGAGAGAAATCACACCTGCAGGGAAGCATTTCCCATACTGCCACACTGCCACCACGCACAAAATAGCGCTTTTAAACTGTGCCCTTCGGCCCTATTTAGGGGCATCATTAACGATTTCAAACTCCAACTATTGCTTTATCTCACAATAGTGAAAAATGGGGGAGCTACATTCATTATGTTTTTAAGTCATTTAACTGCAGTCCTCTCGAAGGCAAAGGAAATGCCGCGACGAGTGGGAACCTGCGGACTTAGGAGGCAGCCGTTCTCCCCCACCGCGGCTGCTTTCCTGAATGGAGGCAGTAGCCTCCGGGAAGGAGCAGTTAAGTGGTTCCTTTATCAAAACAAGGAGGGAATCACAGCAGAGGCGAACGAAGCGAGAACCCCTCCTGCATCCAGGCAGTTCAATTCACCCCGTCGCCCCACCCCCTACCCCATCCCTGGTCCACTACAGCTCGGGTTTCAGAAGGGAAGAAAGTCTGGAGGAGGGCGGTCAACCTTCCAAACGCAGGCCCCTCGGCTTAAGCGAGAAGGAGGTGTGAGCTGGGGACTGCGTGCGTGCGCACAGGGACAGCCCAGCCACGGACGAGACAGCAGTGGCCAGGAGGGAGACCCACCAGATCGACAAAGCCTCAACTAGTACGATTTGAAAAATCCCCCGCAGGCACTGGCTTCGGTGCCAAAACCTCCCTGGGTTTATTTTCAGGCAAGTGACTCACAGCCTCCTCTCCATAAGTAATTCCATAAAAACCAGTCGCCGGTTCCACTAGCCCGACTTTCCGCTGCCCTCTGGCTGCCCCTCCCTCCTCTCCGCCCATCCTGCAAACCAGACAGCGCCCAGACAGAACAGTGGTACCCCAGGGGAGCAGAAAACAGGCTCCGGCCCCGCCCCCGCCTCCCGAGTGATGAATGGGGCGCGGGCGGGCGCGAGCCCGAGAAAGGGAGTGCGGGGTGTGTACGCGTGTGTGCGCGCGTGGGCACGCACCCGGCCAACTTACGGAGGTGGAGTTGGTCCTCGCCTGGCCCTGGTTTCGCACCTCCTGCTCCCGGAACTGCAGCCCGGCCAGATGCTTCTCTAGCGCCTCCCAGTCCATTGGGGGCACCGGGGGCTCTTCGGGGACGAAAGTCCCGCCGTCCGGGGGCTGAAGACAGGGCGCCCCTGCCACCGGGCCCCTGCCGCCGCGCCGGCCCTCCGCCGGCTGGGGCTTCTGGATCGCCCGCCCGGGGCCCCGGGGGCCGCTCTGCCGGCCGGCCACAACCACATTGCCATTGTGCCTGAGGTCCTGGGGTTCGTAGGGGCGGAGGTTGCCGTTGGGCATTGGGAGCGGCGTGACAGTGGTGACGCTCCGGGCCCCGCCGCTGCCGCTACGGGTCCTGGCGCTCAGGTCCCCGGACTCCCGGGCCGGACAGCGGTCATCCTGGTACCCTCGCTCGTCTTCCTCTTCCTCCTCCTCACGGTCCTCCTCCGGCGCCCACTCATCAATCACCTTCTGGTAGACCGGGAAGGACGCTTCATAGTCCTCTAGGGCAGATACCAGGTCCAGGCTGCCCCCCGGCGACGACGAGGATTTGCACTCCGAGCAAGGGGTCACTTTGGTGGAGTTGGACTGCGAACTGGAGCGGCTACTGCTGCTGCTGCCGGCGTCACTGCCTAGATCCATCCCATCCTCTCGGTAGTCCTGGGGGAGGAGGCAGAGAGAGTGAGTCGCCGGGCCGAGCTGCTCAGCCGCCGCGCCGGTCGCGAGCCCCCCACGCCCCGGGCCGAGGAGCCCGAGGAGGCCTGGGGGCAAGGGCCGTCCCGGGCCCGAGGTTTCCCTTCGCCCTCCTCCCCCGCACGACCAGACTTCCTGCGGTTAACTAACCCTCAGATTCGCACAGAGGTGCCCGGCCGCCAGCGCGCACATTTCATGCGAGGAGCCCCGGGGCGCGCGCGGACTTTGTTTTAACCATTTTGCGTCGGGCGCGCCCCTGCACCCCGCCCCGGGGATTCTCCAAGAACCGGACGCTTCCCACAGTATTCAGATTCCCTGGGGGCGGGAGCCGAGAAGGGGGAGGGCGCCCACTAATTTCGCACCTCACGGGGCGGTGAGACCACCCCCACCCCGCCCCGCCCCGCCCCTTCCCCGCCCGCCGCCCGGCGCCGCCAGCCGCGGCAGCCAAGGGCTGACTGCACTTTCTAAGGAGCGGCGGGCGGCGACAAGAAGGCCGCCGCCCGCCCCTCCTCCCGCTAGCACAGGGTCGGGACCGGCGAGCTCTGCCCGAGCGGGGCAGCTTGGCCTGCGCTTCCCGAGGTGCGCCTGCCCAGGCGCGGCTCAATCGCGGCGGCTGCGCCGGTCCCGACACCGAGCATGCCCAGAGCCACCAGCGCGCGGTCGGCTCCCGCGTCCTCAGCGGCCGGCTGGAGCCAGAGGCCTGGGGCAGTCGGAGGAGCCCGGGCTCGGGCGTTGGGGGCGCAGGCCTCCCGCTGGTGAGGGCGGCTCCCGAGGGTGCCCTGTGCCCACCCTCCAACACTCGCGCCTCCTGCGCGCGCTCCTGGCCTCCTTGCGGCGCTAGCCACCCAGCCCGAGCCTCCTGGCGCCGCCTAGTCCACGCGGAAGTCCCCGAGTGACCTGGGGGAGGCCCTCCCTCCCCACGCACGCAGATTCACGAGCCCGCGCGGAGCACGAGTGACGCGTGCTCGCCGGCCCGGCACCGGCGTCCCCTCCATCCTCCTCCCGCTTCCTGTCCCCGCGCCGCCCAGCTCCTGGCCTCGCAGCCACGTCCCCTCCTGAGCCCAGGCTGCGGTGAAACCTGTTGCTGTGGCTCACATTTCTATCCCCTCCCGCGGCCGCTGAAATGGCTCAGCGAGGCTTGCCTGTGGGAAGCCAGGGGTAAGTGTTAGAAGGGTGAGTGGCTTGGTGGTGGGGGCCGCGGTGGGTTTGGGGGCATCCAGAGACTCTCCTCCCACCTCCTGGCAAGAAGACCCGAAGGAAGGGCGAGGCTGTGTCCTGTGAGGTGCGCCTACAACATTTGATGGCTTTGCTTCCTTCAATTTCTCTGGAATCCAAGAAACCTGTGCTGGATTTTTCAGATATGCACGGGTGGTCTCAGGTTGGCAGCTCTTTTTAGGAGGGAGCGTTCTTGGAGTGAAAGGTACCAGCAGTTGGAAAACTTAGCTGTTCACAGAATGCCTTTTAAGGGCTAAAAATTTCCTGTGAAGGAACCCGTCAGCCTGCAAGAACTGGAAACTAGGAAATGCCCTCCTCCCTGTGGTGATAATGAAAAAGAGCACTTAGCCCTACCACAGATTGGGAAAGTCAGCCCCTGGACTTCCAGATTCAGGCTGTTACTAATTATTCCAGTGAATTCTGTCCAGGCCTGGCATAGTGCAGATGGGGGACAGGGGATGCCTGGGATTCTTTAGCAGGGAGAGGCTGCCACCCTTACCATTCTTCTGTGCCCTTCTGGGGACTGTATATAGCAGGACTGCTTCCACTTAGGTAGTCCTGAGCCCTGAGCCTGAAAATTCAAGCTGACCTTATAGCTTGTCTAGAAGGAACAGTGGTATGAATAACAGGAAAAGGGGCTCTCTGGTCTGACCAGCTCTTCTGTAAAAAGCAGCTGATTGTAACTTAAAATATACTTTATGCCAACATCTGTAAACAACCTGCCTTTATAATCCAAATATGGTTTGATTTCAGGGTTGCTGCAGAGCCCCAGCTGCCTGCTTGGGTGTGGAGGTGGCCCTGAGAATGTTTAAAGAGCTAGGAACTAGAGAACTGCTCTTCTGTGCCCCTTATGACCTCACAAGGCTTAGGTCAGGAAAAGTGTCTGCTCTGTGGCAGGACACAGGGAGACCAGTAAGCATTGGTGGACTGGGGTGACAGGGAGATTCCATTTTTATGCCTTAGGCCTCCCCATCTCCCACCCACTCTCCCTCCTGGGCACCTGCTTACTCCCCTGCCATCCAGATGGTCCATGTTGTGTTCAGGAAATGCAAAATAAGGCCTAAGAAAAACATTTGGCAAGGTAAATTCACTGCCAAAAATGCATGGTATTTCAAAGCCAAATATAAATGTCTTTGAATTATCTGTATTTTCACATTATTATTTGACCAGATATTCCAGATCAGATGGGAAAGTACCCAGCTTCCCTTTCCTCTTCTCTTCATGCAAGGTGCTTGGCTAGACTACTTTCCATTCTGTTTCCAGCTTTCCATCTCCTGCCAAGAACCCACCCACTTGGGAACGGGAAGCCCTGCTAGCTCCTAGGCCCACTACAGTCTACAGCTCTGTCCAGCAGGATGGAGAGATGATTTGCAAAGTGATTGAAAGGAACATTTTCTCAAGTTAAAAGTTGAACGTCATAGGTGCCAGTCAAGTGGGAGTAACCCCAGAGCCCTCTAGTTCCTGAACCTTCCCCATCCATCACCAGGTACAGGGTCCCTCTTGAATATCCATTAGCCCCTGCCCATTCTCATGCAGCCAGAGTGGCCTTTCTAACAATGCAAATCTGCTTTCTTCTCTCCCTTGCTCCATTAAAACCCCACAGGGCTCCTTCAGGGAACTGATGCCCACCACTGCCTCCAACTTCCTTTGGCAAATTTTAACTCAGCTAAAAAGTCTCAATGTAAATGTCACTTCCAATTGGGCAGCTCCTCTGATTCCTGCCACCCCCTGGGTGATTGCTGGTCCAGTCCACTAGACTCAGGCCACTCATATATATATATAAATACATGTATCTGAAAAAAAGTTTTATGAAAATCTTATATCATAAAATCTTATTCTAATGTATTTAGAACAGAATCTAGTCATACCTCACCATGGGGCTTTCTAACCCTTTGTGGGTCAGGGTTGTTAGGGTAAAAGATGCTCTGATTTCCACAAGGGCAGGGCTATGGTGTTTGTTGCTGAGTTTATGAACAACATTATCTAACTCATTTAATTCTCAAAAATCCCATGAGGAAGCCATTATTGTCTCCATCTACAGGTGAGAAGGTCAAGGACAGTGAGGTCAAGTATCTTGCCAAAGTCAAAATGCTAGAACAGTAGGTAGTGGAGCCAGTTCTAGAAGCTGGACAGTCACTCAGCCATGCACTTCAGATCCCTGACCCTGCTGCATACAGAATTTTTCCAAGCAAAGATGTTAGGAGGCAACACCTCAGACTAGGTCTCAGCCTCCTGCCCTCCAATCTTGGGCATCTTACACCTGCAGAGAAGAAGCACTGAGGGCACCTTCCTCCTCAGCCCCACTGTGTTCCATCTCCTCCAGGGCCACCCAGCTCAGCAAGAATCAGCAGAGAGTTGATCATGTCCAGGAAGGCCCTAGAACTCCAAAGATGAAATCTCACATTGGATGAACTCTGCATTAAGTTCCCTCAAAACAAATCCTATAAGAAGGAAGCCACAGTGAGTATGGATCTTCAGTAGGAAACCATCCAGACTCATCCTCAAAGGGTAGAGACAAGATGACATTCCTCAGGATCAGTGCTGTTGATAGGATTTTAAATGTGTAAGTCAGAGAGTTTGAAAAGGGAGGAATAGATCTATTTGCAAAATTCCCAAACCAATTTTGAAATCATCAGCCTTGACTCTGAGCTTCCCTGTGCTGTGGCATTTAGAGTAATAAAGACATGGCTGGCAGAGGGCTTGCGTCTCATCTTTATTGCATGAACTACATGCAGGTCATGCCACATGCAGATGCTGTGTGAGAGTGACTGGAGTGAACTGTATATAGAATGTCTGGAACCCATCCCCCATTTCTGACCCAGCCTAGGACCACAGCTTCCCATGAAAGGGGCCTGACTACTTGGCCGTGGTGTTTGGCAGATAGAATCAATGGGATGCCCTAATGGATGAAGCTAGAAAATACAGCATAAAAATGGCCCTGAATCTTTTCATCACCATCCTTATTGAAAGGCACAGTGTATCCCTCTGCTCACTCAAACCAGGGTCTTCCTGTTAGCTACCTGCAACATTTCTTCTTTAATTCTGCAGATACTGTGGCTTGATCTTCGCTATATGTGTAGATATTTTCAAGATGGAACCTAAGTATATATAATGTGGTTTTCTTCTTTCTTTCATTTGGACAGAGCTGTACTTACATAGAGAAAATTCCCTTTAAAACACATACACACCTTAAAGGTTTTGGTTCTGTAGCAAACTGTGAGATTGTATTTATTTCCTACGTTTTCCTCAATAAAACCAAAATGGTACTTAAGAGATGGCTCCAATAATCTCTTTCCCAGACCTGAAACCAGGATGCCTGGCTAGAGGAACATTCCCCCACTAAGGGAACTCACTAATAATGTGTTTGAGACCAGGATACCCCCCGGGCACTGGGATGAGCAGCCTTTTGTGCAGCAGAGAAAAGTCAGTGCTGAGTGGGGCCTCCACATAGGGCTTTCCAGAACTAGCCTCTGCTGTGAACTACTCAACAGGACCTGCTTGGAGGGACCACCTGGCACCATCCCCATGGCTGGCAATTTCTGTGCATTGTGGTATGCACAGGGCTCCACCAGGAAGGAACCAGCTGTTCTTTTCTTAGCAGAGTCATACCTCAGATTGGAGGACAGTGACAAAACTTCAACAACACAAATGCCCTGTCTCTTCTTCCAGAAGTTTTCTGCCATCACCTTGTGCTTTCCTGAAGTTTCTAGCAGATCTTGAAAAAGCAAATGTGTAAGCACCCCTAGTTTCTTTTGGAGCTTTGTTGATGGGTATAGATTACCTAAAAGGGCTTATTTAGGAGGAGCTGGGGAGCTCATGGGTGTGTTCACTGCAGGAACATAGAAAAGTATCTGGAGCAGTAGCACAAAGCCCACATGCACAAGACCCCAGTAAAGATGAACCACCTTGGAAATTCTGGGCCTTGTGCTCCTGTGTATTGTGCTTCTTAAGAAGCACATCTTGCAAGTTGCTTTACAAAATGAGCAACTACAAAGTGAGAACTCTGCTGGT